GCCCAAAATTGCATTTGTGTGTTATGCAAGATCATGTTTTCAACACAGTGAGAACAGCACTGTATTCATGAGGATGTGCCCCAAAACTGGTAAATGCTATTTGCAGAAATACTGCCACAGCACTCCCTGATGAATGCAAAGGGGCCTAGTGCAGATCCCCCCCCCCGCCCCGCGAGCCCAGACTGCCTATCTTTTTGTAGCCTGATTGTCATTGTGAAAATCAGGGGCCTTAGCAGGAAGCAATTCCGCTGACATGCATACTCTTTCATGGAGGCAATGCTGTAAACCAGACATAACCCAAAAATAAATGCCTAGAAAATCACTTTTCTGCTTCTGTGGGTTAATAGTTTAAGGTCTCTAAAAGACAAGTGCTGGTTTGTTCAAAAAAGCAAATAAACATGCTGTTTTGTGACGCTAACCAGAGTTTTTCTTTGTACAGCGACTGGGTTTCAGAGTCTCTATTGCTACCATACCAGTGCAGTAAGCTGTCAGTTTAAAAACAGACTCTACATGATGTTAAGAGGACAGATGTTTCTGTTTGTTTAGTATGCCTTGTTATTAGAACACTTAAAAATGTGTGTCAGACAACAGTTTTTCTTTGAATGATACACTTGGTATTTTGAGCTGTTGTTGAAAGAATCCAGGAGTTGAAAGAACCCAGGAATGAGGAAATATCTAATTAACATCCATGCAAACCTCAATGCATGCTGATTTCATGGGCAGCACATTTAAAATACGTTCAGCTGACTTCTGTGTTTCTGCAGGATTTACTCTTTGACATCTGGCGCACAGGCTTACTCCAAACATCATCAGAGTTCAGTGGATTTTCCTCCAGCAATCCCAGTGTTGGCAGTATTCCTAGATATCTATGGAGTGAAAAGGAAACATCTGTGTGGCACACACATGTGCACACACGCAGGCACTCACCAGCCAAAGGAAGATGATCCCATAAAAGGCAGAGGGCAGAAACCACTAGAAAACTGCCCGGAATAATTGCCTCCCCCCACATGAAATGAATGGATATTGTGGGAAAGCAAATATCAAAATGAAGCAATATCCCTCATATGTATTTTAAACTCCCAACATTTCCAAATAACCTGCAGATCTTGTGATGGGAATCCTTTCCTGGAGGAGGAGGATGTTGGGAGGTTTCCCCTGGCAAATGTAGCGTGTGCCCCAGTCCTTATTCTTGGCACATGGATAAGAAACCATTTAGGAGCCCTTCCTCCTGACTCCATTTAGTGTTGCAGTGGCATTCCTTGATAGAGGGGCACCCCAGCAAGCGGAGCTTCGAGGGTGGCAGCGCCCTGATTGCTTGGCTGCCCGATGCCCTATCTCCATCCTGAATACATTTTTTCCGGGGTTCTCAAGTGCCCTGGCCTACAAAGATCTGGCATGCCCAGCAACTTCCATAAAATGTTTGGAGTAAAGATTGGTAAACTGGATCTCTCAGCTTCCTTCTCCCCAACCTCTTTGCCCATTGGGCAGATTCACACAACAAGCAACTGTGTTTTTTTGTGTAAGTTGGTCAGTCATGTCATCCAAACCCTGTCATGGTATTGCAGCGTGATACATTTTGTTTTTAGAAACCACAACCAGAAACAACCATCCATTCTACGGTTTCTTGGTACCACAAAGGCTTGCTGCGTCATCCAAACCTAGAATGCACAAGGCCACATCATCAAGCCACTTGGCAAAAGTGACCCTTTGCTGCTCTTGCCAAGCAACCACCCAGAGAGCGGCATTAACAGCTGGGTTTGGGGCACCTGTTGGAGTCGTCCCCACCCTGCCCACTTCCTGCCCTAAAGACCTTTGGAGCAAGAGTGGGTGATCAGCTAGTTGGTGCTGGGAAAGGAGGAGTGTTGCTCAGTGGAGAGGGGTGAGAATCCCCTGGGTGGTAGCACCCAGTTGGGGGCTACACACCTCAGCGGATACCCCCTCTGCTGTGCTCCGTTCTTGCTCCCCCTATCCAAAAGGAGGTGTTGGGTTGGGGACGCCTCTCTGGCAAATGGGACTGAGAGAGAAGGAGGAGCAAAGAAGCTGCTGGTGCCAACCAGGCCTTGCTGCCCAGCGGATTCACCCCCCACTCGCTTCCTTTGGTGCCAGCAGAGGGGGCAGGGGGGATTAACTGAGTGGTCCTGCTCCTTTCTGCAGCACCACCCAGCTAATTTCCCAGTCCTTTTGCCTACGTGGATCAGGCCCCTGCCCCCACCCCCCGCCGACCAGCAATCCAGTGTCCCCTCCAGAGCAGGAGGGGAAGGTGCCTGATCAGCTCCGGTGCCCCCCCCGCCCCCGCTGCACTAAAGGGCATGAGCCCTGTTTGCACAACAGCCACGGTCTGACAGCCGCTGTGAGCAAACTGGCTCCTGAATAGAAAAGCGCTTCACTCCTCCCCACAGAAAAGCCTCCTGGGATACTGCTTGGAGGAATAAGAGGGAAGGAAATGGTGGAAGGGAGAAGAATCACCACCATAAGCCTGATATCTGTCAGGCACATTTCCACAAAAAAATGTGAAGCATGGACACCATACAGGGTTGCTCTTTGTGACATGTGAATCCAGCCACCATCTTCTCTCTCCTTGCACTCCTCCACTTAACTGGAGGAGCAAGGAAGCAGGTCCCTCAGTACTCTCATTGGCCAGTCCCTCAAAAGGCAACGAGCGGATTGGTTCAGCTCACCGCCACTCTCTTGGAAAATCCTTGGCTTGAAAGCAGCACCAGTTGCCTCAATTGGCCAGCACAGCACTTTCCTTCATTGCGTTCCAGGTCTTGCCCACATCACTACTGCCGCCCTGCTGTGGGCCCTCTGGAGCTGCATGCCTAATTCATCTCCAGGTGGGACTGGGAAGATTTCTGCCTGAAACCCTGGATGGGCCAGCAGCCTGCTTCAGCATCCCACATTCCAGATGAGCTATGAATGATTTGCTATCACCCTGTCTATGTGTAAAAGTGCAGACCTGGGGGTGTGTGTCTTTGTTTGGCCCCTGTGTAGGTGCCATCTAGCTGAATTGTCCTGAAGCAAACGAGGAGAAGGTGTAGTCAGTCTCCTACTGTAGTGAATTTTACGGCAACCTTCTTTAACCCGGGAAGGATGGGAAGAACTGCAGCAAGGGAAGAACAGGAGGTCGAGGTGGACTAGTTTATAAGAACAAACATTTGAGGGAAAGAAAAGGTGGTCTTTTCTAAAAAGAGAGAGAGTCCCTACTTCTCTGCCAGGAAAACATTGCTGGAGCTAATACATAACAAGGGACAGTTGAAGTCACCTTTTGTATTATATTACCTTTTATTGGAGGCAAAGGCCTAAATCATTCAACTGTAGTATTCTTGATCGTTTGTATGTGAAAGTTGGATAGTGAAGCAAGCTGACAGGGGAAAAAAAATGATGCGTTTGGAACATGGTGCAGGAGAGGAGCTTTGTGAGTGCCCTGGACTGACAGAAAGGTGAACAAGTGGTTTCCACATCAAATCAAGCCAGAGTTTTTCTTAGATGCAAAAATGATGAAACTGAGGCTATCTTATTTTGAACAGTTCATGAGAAAGCAAGACTCACTGGAGAAGACAATCATGCTAGGGAAAGTCAAAGGCAGAAGAAGAAAAAAGAAGGCCAAATATGAGATGGACCAATTTCGAAAAGGGAGTCGCAAATCAAGAGCTGAGCAGGGCTGTCAAGGATAGTCCCAGTCACAACACAGATTCTTATGGTGTATCACCATTGGGAGAATTTACTATTTGTTCTTACCTGGATTGGTTTGCCCAAAGAAAAAGGGGGCATTGATAAACAGGAGAGGTTAACAGAAGTACCCTGCCACACACACCTTGACACTAGGATTAGGAATTGTAGCCATAAATGGCCTTCTCCTCCATGAATTTATCAAGTCCACTTTTAAAGCTGCCAAATTGATGGCGGTCACTACATTTTGTGGAAGTGAATTCTACATTTTAACTATGTGTTACATGAAGAAGTACTCGCTTTTATTTATCCTGAATCTTTCACCAATCAGCTTGGATATTTTGTGGTATTGCTGTCTTCATGGATCACTGCCTTGTCATGACGAAGGGGAATTCTTTGTAACTTGGGTTTTATTAATATTTTACATGTCTGTAAACATTTTTTAAAAATATCCTAACAATACAACCAGATAAAATGCTGCATTGTTATATCCATATCTTGAGAGGTTTGGCTCTGGCTTATTTTGTTTGAGCAATTCAACTCAATAATTCTATGGAAAAGACAGCAATATCACAAAATATCCAAGCTGATTGGTGAAAGATTCAGGATAAATAAAAGCGAGTACTTCTTCATGCAACACATAGTTAAAATGTAGAATTCACTTCCACAAAATGTAGTGACAGCCATCAATTTGGCAGCTTTAAAAGTGGACTTGATAAATTCATGGAGGAGAAGGCCATTTATGGCTACAATTCCTAATCCTAGTGTCAAGGTGTGTGTGGCAGGGTACTTCTGTTAACCTCCCCTGTTTGTCAATGCCCCCTTTTTGTCAGCTTTCACCACCTGAGTTCAGTGTTGGAGTAATGACTGAAAAAACTTACTTGCCACCCAGATCTGTACTTAGAAAGATGGGGAAAGGGATGGCAGCTATGATCAGGGAAATCCCAGGCTCAAATCCTGCCCCAATACCAAACGGACCTAAACTATTTGTTTGCATGTTCAGCCCCTGCCCCAACTGCAATATGGAGGCACTTTCACTGGCCAACCTTACCAGGCTGTTGTAAGGATTGCTCTGGTATTAAACATAAAGCCCTCTTTAAAAAACTGGAAGGGGCTAAAAACGATCCATTGCATTATGTTTAAACTGGTGCGTAAGGGATACTTAAAATGCAGATGGAGGGGAAAATGCCAAGGAATAATCCTAACATGTTTAGTCCACTAAAAAAAAGTCCAGCAGCCGCCACTATTCTCCAGCCAGACATTTTTCTGTCTTAACGCACAAAGGATTACACCCTTGTCTCCTTGGCGTTTCTCCTGCGGCTAGCTGGAAAATGCTGGGTGCGACGGGGCCTTTTTCCAGTCCAACCGTGCATAGGATCGCGCCCGAAATCCGCTCACCGCGTGATCCACCCCGCTCTCGCGTCTCCACTAAGACCGCCAGCCAGAACGCAGCGACCCCAGGCGCTGTGCAGCTCCATGCGACCGTCTGTTCTTTCCTGCCGCCCGCACCTCCTCCTCCTCCTCCTCCTCCTCTGTGGTGCGTTGTGGTGGATCAAGGTTTTTGTTGTTGGGTGCCCCCCCCCAACAACACGCACACCCCTCCCGCCTGCCTGCCCGCCTGCCTTCCTCGTTTCCGCGCGGAAAACCAGCAGCGGTTTCGCCGAAGTCTAGCAGGAGCCGGCGCTCCGAAGGGAGGCGAGGAGAAATTGCCAGACTGAGGGCGCTCGGTGGTAGCCAAGATGAGAAGCCGCCGCGCTCTTCCTCCTTCAGCCTAGGAGGCAAAAGATAAACACGCACACGCGTAAAATGCTTAGGATTGCACCGCAAGCATCGCCAGCACGTCGCGCCCGCCCGGCCGCCCGGCAAGACCCTGCGCGGGCTCTGCTGGGAGCCATGGAGAGGCTGCCGCCGCTCCCGGTGACCTGATCTGCCCTCTTCTCCCCGCTCCCGGGATTCGTTTTGCTCCCTCGGCCGGCCGACGAGGGGAAGCCAAAGCCCCGGGAGCCGCCAGCCGCCGCCGCCGCCGCAGCCCTGACAAGCCGCGCACACCAAAGCAGAAGCGGTGAGTGGGGGACGGGGCGGAGATGCTCGCCCGCGGCGCACGGATCGTCCCGGTGATGCTGCCTTGGGGGCCGGCGGGAGGGCGACATGCTTTGGGGACGGGGGGTGGTCTGCTACGCTTCCTCCGACGCGGGAGGAGGAGGGGTGTTCCTGGGGAGCGGGTCGGCATCCGCGACGCCAGGGGCGCTTGGGCAGACTCGGAAGAGCGCAGCATCCCGGACTCCCCGCGAAGAGGCTGCGTTGAGCCGCGGCGAGCCTGGCCTTCGCGCGTGAGTGCCGCGCCTCCGCGGGGGGGGGGGGGGCGCAGGGGCCCGCTTCCTTCTGGGGCCCCCGGCCCTCGGCGTCTCTTCCCCCGAAGAACTTCGCGGCTGCTGCACGGCCCCGCGGGGGTGCGGGAGGGGCGCTCTCCCAGCCCCGCCCCCCCGAGCCTCTGTTATTCGGGGGCCGGCAGGGGAGGGCGCAGGCACGCTCCGCGGCCAACCGCGTTCGCCAGGGCGGGCGGGGAGGAGCTGCGTGCGCGTTGCGGTGTGCGGGGAAGGCCAAGGTGAGCCAGCCGCCTTCTCCGCCGCTGCCTATCAGGAGCCTTTCATTCTCCTTGTCTCCAGGACACCCCCTCCACCACCACCACCACCACCGCAGATTGGACGGCAACGCCCTGCCTTCCTGCCCATGGGCGAGTCAGGCTGGGGATGCTGGGTGCTGTGGTCCAGCGCATCTGGAGGGAGCCCATTTGGGCAAGGCTGATTGAGGACTCCGTGATTTCCGGGCAAATCAGGACGGGATCGTGTAATAAGCGGCACGCTTCCACCCTCCCTCCCACCTTTCCACTGCCGGTCATGTTGCCCCTGCAGTGGTCCTCCGGGCAGAGCTGCGGACTTGCCTCGGGCGCCCCTCCCCCTCCCGGGCCTGGCGCTGCAGAGCCCCTGTGGCTGAGCACGAAATCCCAGCGCGGTTCTTGGGGTTTATCTCACGGTGGATCCTGCGGGTTTTGCAACACTTTGTTTTTCTTTCAGTTCAGGTGCGAGGAGCCAGGCAGCGATGGTGGATCCAGCGGTGGATCCAGGGGGGGAGAAACGCCCCGCGGACCCCGGGAGCGCTGCGAGTGCAGAAGCGGCCGCCGGGGCCGAGGAAGCCGCCCCGCCGCCGCCCGCAGCAGCAGCGGCGGCGGCCCCTTCCCAGGCAGCAGATGCTGCAGCTCAGCCGCCCGCTCCTCCCTCCCCCGCCCTGGCGGCGGCAGCGGCTCCTCCCATCCAAGATGTGGAGAAACTCCGAGAGGAGTCACCGATGCTGCACCTGGATCTGTACAACTTCGACTGCCCGGAGGCTGAGGGCAGCCGCTACGTGCTCACCAGCCCCCGCTCCCTGGAGGCGTGCGCCCGCTGCGCGGTCAAGCCGGTGGAGCTGCTGCCCAGGCCCCTCAGCGAGCTGATCAAAGAGGCCCCCGGCAGGTCTATGCGGGTCGCCGCGGGCCTTTACGAGGTCTACGAGATGGACCGGCAGAGGAAGCTGCAGCAGTGCCGGGAGGAACGGGAAAGGATTATCCGCGAGGAGAAGAGGCGACTCTTCTCGCCTCTGCTGATTGGCAGCCTGCCCTCCTCCCCAGCCTCCCGGGTTGCCTTCAAAAGCGGCGGGGCCAGTGGGAGCTGCGGCGCGGCAGGAGTGCCAAGGGGGGGCGGTCCTCCCGCTCCTCCCCCCGCCGCTGGGGGCGCCAAGACCAAGAAGAGCCACTCCCTGGACTCCTTGCAAAAGAGGAGGGAGGGGTTCTCCACCAAAACCTCCACGGACTCAGGGGCCTCGTCGTCTTACAGTGGAGACAGCTTTAGGGACAAATGGCCTAAGGAGCAGCCCAGGACTAAGACTGTGGCAACCATGACCTCCCTGGTGGGTCGAAGTTTCAGCTTGGGTGACCTGAGCCATTCCCCCCAGACCACCAAGAAGGTCGAGCAGATCGTCAAGGAGGTGAAGAAGAAGAAAGGCCTCAAGGAAGTGTCTGAGAGGGACCGAAAGATTGCTGCTCTGATGATAGCCAAGCACCAGGAGGCGAGCATCCTGAATGAGCAGCGGTACAGTGCCCACCTCCAGTGGGACATCCAGAAGCGGCAGGCAGAGCAGAGGAGAGAGCAGGAGGAGAAGGAGAAGCAGAGGGCCTTGCTGCAGTGCCAGCACATGTGGGAGACCAACCTGGAGAAGCGGCGTTGCAAGCTGAGCCACGAGCAAGAGATGGCTGCTCTCCTGAGGCAAAAGCAGAGCTCCCTGGAGGAAGAGAAGTGGCGGGAACAGCTGGAAAAGCAGGAGAAGCTGAAGAGAGAGCGGCTTGAGAAGGCCATTCACGAAGACAAGAAGAAGAAGCGCCACCAGGAGCACAATCTGAAGACTCAGGAAGAGAGCAAGAAGGAGGCCACTGACCGGGAGGTCCAGCTGCTGCAAGAGAAGCTGTCCTTGGCAGCTCAGAAGAAGCTGAAAAGGGAGCAGCTGCTGCAGAGGGAGAAGAAGCTGCTCAACCAGGCTGAGAAGCGGAAGCATGAGGCCATCCTCAAGGAGCTAACCAAGCAGGAAGCCGAAGAGAAGGCCACGCTGCGGGCCTCCCTGGAGGGGAGCTGGAGCAAAGCTCAGGGAAACTATGAGCAGCTCATTGAGAAGAGGAACCAGGAACTGAGGGAGAGGGCTAGGCGGGAGGAAATGCAGAGCCAGAGGGCTCGGTTGGCAGCTGAGAGGAAGGACAGGGAGCAGAAGGAGCACTTGAAGGCCTTGGCCGAAGCATCGGAGAGGAAGCTCCAGCATGCCACACAGGTGGCAGAGGAGGTCGTCCAGCAGAAAGCCCGTAAAGTGGTCCAAACTCGGATGGAGAAGGAGAAGGTGCAGAGAGTCAACAAGAAGAAGGTGGAACAGTGTGAAGATATTCGGCGCAGGGAGATTTTACAGTCTATTGAGAGAAAGTTAGAACGGAGTGAACAGATTTGTAAAGAGAAAAAAAGTGTCCTGGAAAATGCCAGATCTGTTGCTCGGGCATCTTTCCATGTCCGGGAAAAAGTACGAGAAGAGATGAACATGCGCACCTTTGACAAGATGGCCTTTGAGGCAGAATTGCAGGCTGGCCTAGTTAAAAAATAAATGTTTGTTTCTATTTCAGATTAAGTGGGGACATGTCTTCCGATGCCCATTGTAAAAAAATGTTTAAAAAACCTCATTATTTCAGAGGAGCACACAAACTCTGGCAGCTACTGCATTTTCAAAAGTGCTTTTGTTATACATATGTAAAAATCTGTTTCAACTGTCCATACAGAGGTAAAGATGTATCCCATCCTTTGTTGAATGAAACAGTGTTTACAAGGAATAAAACAGGGACAAACACATTTTATACACTTGAATGCCACAGTAAAATTTCCCCAAAAAATTGATGGTCATTTCAATTCCCCCCACCCAAACAATCAAATAATAGCTACTTTCATTTTAAATCATCTAAGACTTTATGGAGATGCCATTCACTTTGGATGAGGCTGTAGAGGCGCATGCTGGAATGTGTGCTGTCTTATATGTCCATATTTAAGAAGCGTTTATATTACAGTGTTTGGCTGATAAAGTGCACTTTATCCAGGCTGCTGGGAACACTGGGGCTTGTGAGATAATTTTTTAAAAATCCCAAATGCAGATAAAATTCTGATTCTTTCTGATCCATGGCACAGAAACATTGTTCAAAACTCTTATTCAAATAAAATGACAGACATTCAGAAGGTGTTTACAATCCCTTTTATTAACTTTGCAGGCAGCTGCTTTTGGGAGCTACTGTTTGCAAGAAACCCAGCAGAAAGCAGGTCTTATAATTGTTGCAAGTATTTCAATTGGAAGCCTAATTTATAGTATCTCCTCCACCTTCCTTGAAGGAAAGTATTGTACAAATTGGTCTCTGCATGAACTAGACTGCCCTAGGGGAGACTCACCTCACTTGTTGTAAGACAATCTTTGGAACAGTTCTGTTTCCTGGATGTGATTTGTTAGCTGCTCAAGAAATTTGGTGCGGTTGGAGACTTTTGAATGTATGATAAAGTTTCATTTCATAATTATATGAAAAGAGGGTTTTTCCACTGTGGCTCCTCTAACCCACAACAAGGTTTTTGTAACTCAAGGGTGTAGAGGTTCTTTTAGCCAGATGATCAAATTCAGTTTTGGAGAAGATCTCAGGGGCTATATTCCAATGGTGGGTGGTACCAAGGACAAGATGGGAAGGGCCAGAAATGCCACTATTTAGTATAAAGTTCTTACTGCCGGTAACAACCTTAGGAAAGTTCTAAACTTTTAGAATGGAAGAACACTGCTCAAAAGTTGGGGAACTACCAAATCATTGTCAGCTGGGGGAAAGGGCTGGAGCTGGAGGAGGGCCATGGCCTTTTAGGGAAGCCTGGAGGGCCAGATTGCAACTCCAAGAAAGTCAGATTTAAGTTTAGGAGCCTGATGTTTGACATTCCTATTCTAAGCTATGTTAGAACATAGGCCAATTCTTATCCCTTTGCCTTGGTACATTTCCGCCCAGGCAGTGAGCTGCATTTGTGTACTAAAATTAAACATAATGTGGCATAAAGGTTTAGGATGCCCACCTTCCCGAAAAGAACAAAGCCTCCATCCCTTTAATGATGCCCTGGATTCAGGTTATTTAAAGGTCTTGTAATAATGATCACACAACTATATATATGGAGTGCCATACACTCTTCAATGGCCATCTGCTTTATGTCAGTCCTATTCTGTGGGATACTGTAACATGAGAATCAAGACTGACCATATGGCTTCTCCATCCTCCAACAGAAAGTGAAGCATAAACATACACCAGTATTGGGGATTATGTATACTGGTGTACAACAGTTACATTTTTAGAAAGAACTCACTGATCAAACATCACCTGATCATTCCAATAATAATTAGCAAGTTCCTTCTTCTTTTTTTTTTTACTAACTAGACATGCAGTATGATTCCAAACTCTGAGCATAATCAATTTTAAAAATAATTTGTGTTTTTTTCAGTAAGCTCTGACCTTTGCCAGAGCTTGCTCAAGTAAATGTATGTCTTTACAATCATAGTGACTTTGCAGTTGTTTTCATAAATGACAGGATATCAAACATTTAGGAGCATTTAAATTTTTTAATGCCAATTTGCTACCAAATTGTAAAATACTCTCAGGAATGCAGTGTGACTTCCTGGTATCGACACCATTGTGAATAAAGTTAACTGCCCAAACATAGAACTGGATCAATTCCGCCAGCATGAAACTCTTAACCTATCAGCTGAGACCAAAAATGTACATTCGTAAGCTGGAAATTATAGACATAGAACCTGACATTTTACCTGCTCAGAATTTCATAGCTGCTGATGTTCTGTAGGGTATAATGGAAGTTTGCCATGCATAGATTATTTAATCGCTTCACAAATATTCTATGCCAATCCCAAATTGTTCACATAAAACAGTTTTTCAACAAATCATCTCTGGAGAGTAAAAATGAGACATAATACAGCCATGATATGTATGCATTTAAAATCTTTCAGTCTCATCAGTAATATTCTTCAAAACTACAGAGACTAACATTAAGAAGAATTCTGGTTTGGCTCAATTAAGGAAGAGTGACTTTAGCTAGATTCTGAATGCAATTTTACACATATTCCTGGTGATTCCAAACATGGGATATATGTTTTTTAAACACATCAGATGCTTCTGTTTCGTGTCTTCCTCTATGTCAGTGGGAGGAAATGTGCGCATCAGCCCCCACCATCAGCTATGCTGGGTAGAGCTGAGTACACCTGCAGTCCAACAACATGTGGAGAACCCGTGTTCCCCATCTCAACTGTATTTTCCAATAACTAGGCACAGATCATATTTTAGAATATTTATCACAATCTGTATGTGACATCGTCTGACTCATGGAGGTAGGAGTATTTTCATCTGTTGCTTTATCTTCTTTTGAGAATCTGATTCAGATTCATGTGAAATTATTTTGTCATAAAATGGGTGTAAAAAGGTGTTGGGGTTGGCGGCGGACTGATTGCATTCCACCCCGTATCAAGTGCCCGATGATCCCAGTGGCCTCATCCATTAACAATGCTGAATGGAAGCATGGCTTTTGTTTCCTATCAGCACAGGAAAAGTCTCTGCCACTCCATCCCCCTGCTGCCCTCTCCGGTCTAAGATGCTGGGTAGCCCGGCTGTTGGGGTTCACCAGTGCAAGGACAAGTGGACACACCACCCACCCGTCATTGCTGCTGTCCCTGATCTTAGACCAGAGATAGCAAAGGGGATGATGGTTGGTGGGAGTTGGGGCTTAGCCATGCATGAGGAAGAGCTCTCGCTCCCCTGCCCATGCACGGATGAGTCCCACCACATCTCACCCCTGAAGCTCTCTCCAATTTGATAAGCAGCAGGGATGACCTTCAAGGGAACTCTCACAAGGGAAGGACATCTCCGAGGTGATGCACACTGGATTGGGTTGGCCCACAACCCGGAGGGTCTGCACCCCTGTCCATTACGAGTATGTTTAATGAGACGTACTCCCCCTGGGTTGCAGTCTGAAAGGTATGCATAGGCTCGAACTGTACACTGCAGGAATTGGATTGTTTTTGACTCTGAGTTGCTGCTCTCCTGCAAAATCAGCAAGTTTGGAAAGGGGAGGGTCTGTTTTTACCTTTGGGATATTTCCTTTCAAAGCTGTTTTTCTCTTCCAGGTGGAAAAATATAAGTACATGCATTTTTCCCCAGAGAATACAATTAGGTTGTGGAGTGGGATGGGAGAAATCCACCCACCTTTCTGCTCCTGGCAGGCTGAATGTCCACTGAAACTTGCAGCCTCAAAGGCTGCTCCTGGCCAGGGAGATAAGGAGGCAGGGTCAAATGTAGACTGGAATGTCACAGAGACATGCAGGTGTGTGTCCATATAGTTTGCCAATTTTAAAAAAGGGGGGCAGAAAATAATTTGGGGTCTAGTGGTAGATCTTTGGGTGATTTGCAGTACACGTACAAGCATTCTGCCTTCTAGTTGTTGAACTGCAGTGACAAAAGGAAAGCCTCCTTCTCTCTCCCAAATCAGATCACTGACATTAAGAGCTGTGGAGAGGGAGAAAGCAAGAGTGAATTTGTGTGAAAGCTTAGTTTTGCTACTGAAAACAAATCCTTGGTCTGCGCTACATGCTCAGAAATACTCTGTTGGTGTATATCTGCCCTCCACTCACCAGGTACAATTCTCACCCTGGATCCTCAGAGGGTGGATCTAGAGGCTCAAGTAAGAACAACATTGATCCCAGAAGCTAGAAGTCTGGCCATCTCTGTTCAGAATATCCCTATAGCATTTTGACATGCCAATGCTTGTTGGTCCATTCTGCATTTAGGTAGGTGCAGTCCAAGGAGACAAAAACAAATATTAGTCTCCACCTATGATAGATGCTTTGTGATACTTTATATCTTAGTCATACTGCCTACTCTTAGATGAGAATTTTCTCCAGGTGCTATATATCATGTGCTCAGGTTTGCCGTAGTGGCAGAAGCAGCCACCATCCTTTATGAATACAAATACTGAAGGGTGCCCTGTGACTGTAGATAAGGGAACAGAATGAGGCCCAGCACTGCAAATCTTTCAACATTCATTCACCATGCACAAAAGCAGATAATAATAGGAGAACACAGAAAGCATTGGGATGTCCCAAATAGATGTCCACTGCCCCCTCAGGGGTGGGAGGCTTTGCAAATTATTATTCGTTAATTTATTAATAAACGTATATCCTGCCAATATTAAAATCAGTTAATATTAAAACACCCACACTTTGTACAACATTGAAGAACTGCAGCAGCAGGAATAACCGGCCTGGACTTTTGCAGGCCGTTGTTTGCATTTCTACAGATGGGGCTTAATTTATACTTTAAGGCTCTTTGTGGTTAGCAAGGTAGCAGCATAGTTAAAACCACTACCAAGTTAGAAATGAGTGCGCACACACTCATTTTTATCAGTGTATGTGTGCGTTATCATTTCTGCAACCACTAATCCATTTATTACATTTCTAGCCTGCCATTCCCCCTAGAAGCTCAAGGCACTTGATTGTACTGTTTCAGACTACAGGTTCTCTGGATGTCCTGAGCTGTC